AATCGACCTACTAACCGAAGGCAGTGTTTAACGGACGTGTGGTACATCCTTCGGCAGTGATTCAGATCACCGCCTCCTTCGAGCTATGAGATTCAGCTTTCAGTAGCTAGAAAAGAAGATTTATTACCTGTTGGAGGAAGAGAGAAGTCGTATATAACGGCGTTAGGGAGGAAGTCATGACCACTTCTGGGCCCGTCGAAAAGGGCTCAACGAAAGGCTACGACCCAAAAAATGAGAGCCTTCGATGAAAGTGCCTCAATGTTACGAACAAGAAACTTGGAACGAATGTTGAAACCCACCAAGGATCTGATTGAGAAGAGGAGAGAACTGATGTCGAATCTGACTGCATCACATCTCGAGCGAGATAGCCAATACCAGTATCAGAATAGCTTTGCAGGAGGATCTTCGAAAGTACAAAGTAAAGTAAACCAAAACGTGAAGCACAAGGAGGAGGCTATGGAAGTACCACAGGATCCCCCTGACTACTGTGTTTCGCTGACAGCATTACTAAACGAAGACCGGACTCGCTTATCTTCCCGACAAACATGGAATCCGTCACGATGTGATTCAACACCGATCTCTTCCACTCATCAACACCCATGTCAAACCCTGTTATTCCACTGAAGAAATACCACCACGGATTCTACCTGCTGAAAAACGCGCCGCCATCCAGACCATGAGGGCAGCCACGGCTCCGGGACCAGACCATGTTTCAACCGACTTCCTACGAGCTGGGGAAATCGCTTGCACGAGGTAGTGGCGGCACTAACGTCTAATCTTTAAAATACAAGGATTCCCGACTAGTGGAGAACCTCCCAAACAATCCTTCTTTATGAGAAAGGTGATAGGGAGGATCTTTGGAACTACCATCCAATCCGCCTGCTGAGCGTGCTTTACAAGCTCTTCACGAAGATTATCCTCACTTGCATGTCAAGGACACTGGATGAAGCCCATTCTGTAAAACAAGCTGGATTTCGCAAGGAATCAGCTGCGTGAATCAAATCCAGTCGACTTCAAGGACTATCAAGGCTTGCCGAAAGTACTGCCCACCTCTCGTCCTAATCTTCGTCGACTATGGGAAAGCGTTTGACAGTCGACTAATGCCATACTGTTTGCACTTGTCGACCAACGGATGGATGTCTTCTGCGAAACCATTAGCCCACTGTTACAAGAACTGCTCTACAAAATTATGGGTTTTCCACCACACATTAGCCCATGTTGCGAAGTTCGACAAGGCGAAAGCATCGCCAAAGCTGTTTAAAGCCATTTGGCAATGCGTGATGAAGCCACTGGAGTGGAGCGAGCGAAGTTTATGAGAGAAACATTTCAAATTCCCTTCGGTTTGCAGATATCATGGTTTCCTTTAGAAATATCGGTGGAAGACGATGTTGGAGGAGATAGAGAATCAGAAAGAAGATAGGACTACGGAGTAGCGATGGAAGAGTCAGTTAATAAAGAGCGCGCTTTGCGAGAATCAGACAATGTGGAAGGCTCTCCAATGGCGGTGTCTCTTTCTTGTGTATATCTCGTACATCCGATGAGCATGGAGAACGATCTAAAACAAGAAATAAGAGACAAAGCAGTTTTAGCTCTGCCCTTAAAGGAGCCACAGATCAGGTGAACAACAATCTCCAAACCTTCCTGTTCAATTGTTGTTTTCAAAATTGCTCATCCAAATTACATTGTTCTCCCAGCGCTACGAGACGTGGCATGACATGGTTACGTGGAAGGCTCTCCAAACAAACCATGGAGCGCTACAAGACCTCTTCTGGAATCCGAAGTATAAAACATCGCCTCGGGGTTTGAGCGAGAGATCAATGTCGCATCC